GGACCGAGCCTAATTTTTTTTGGCCGGGCCCGGCGCTGCTCGGCTCGGGCCAAAAAAAGCTCGGGCTCGGCTCGGCTCGTTGCCACCGCTACTGTCGAGCCCGAGCTTTTTTTTCCCGGCTCGGGCTCAGCTCGGCTCGTTGCCACCGCTACTGTCAGTTGATCAAAAATTTAACTTTAATCACATTTTTAATATTTTAAAAGTGGGCAAAAGAGTAACTTTTTATTTATCACATTAAATAATTAAATAATAAATTTAAAAAAAATATTCACACACACAATCGTCTTCTTTCTCTCAACCCTTAACCACCCCCACCTCAAACTCAAAAATCCACACCGCCACCAACACCAACCACATTTACCGGCCGGAAAAAAAAAAACATGGTGTTGGAAGGGTATAAATTGACAGCAAAGAAGATGACGAAATGGGAATTATGCCTCTAGTAGGAGCCCATCGTCGAATTTTCCCCGTGTTAATTATAATACTTCTGCCAGTGCGAAGAGCATTCAGATTGTTGATTCACCACAACTTCCGAATGAATCTGATAAAGATAGATCAGAAAATCGTACTCTAGCACAAGTACATCCAAATCGAGAAGTGTCTTCCAGAACTGAGGAAAATTCTCATACAATAAATCACACGGTGACAACTGCAGGACAATCACCTCTATCATCCCCACCTGTTTATGTTTATTCTCAACAAAATATGTTAGAAAGTAATTAATTTTGCAAAGTAGTCGGCAACCCGGACAAATGCCCCATGACCAAGTGATGAATAATTCATTTCCTTCTCCCTCCAAAGCCATGCTTTTTTGTCGGACGATAGCAGGTGGTTGGTGGAGGTGGAGGTGGTCGGTGTGGATTTTGGGTTTGAGGTGGGGGTGGTTGAGGATTGAGATGAAGAAGACGATTGTGTGTGTGTGTGTGCGCGCTTTTTTTAAAAAAAATTTAAATTTCTTATTTAATTATTTAATATGATAAATGGAAAGTTACTTTTTTGCCCCTATTTAAAGTATTAAAAATGTGGTCAAAGTTAAATTTTTGGTCAGCTGACAGAATTATGGATGGAAACTGTCCAAAAGGACTTCACCTGCAACATTTGAAAATGTTAGGGGTGACAACTGCAACAAATCAAAGGTTTGAAGAAAGTTGATAATGTTTTAAATGTTGGAGCTTTTGCTGCAATTATCCCTATAATTAATGTTTATGAGTTATTCAACTTGATCAGTGCGATTAAATCAAAGCAATAATTCCATGGTTTAAGTTCATAATATTAACCTTTTTCTAGAAAAATATATTGTATTCAAATTATTTTTGATATGTAGTTTGTTATTACAAGGAACCCAATTGTCAATGTAGGTTTGTTACAAGATTATGATAAACATGAAATGCTTTTAAAACTATTGAAAACATCAAATCTTCTCGGGCTCCAATTCCTCCTACTATCAAGGAGTAAGTTCAGCAACATGGGACTGATATGTAAATGTGTACATTTAATTAAGGTAGCTTCGGAGTGGAAGCATCGTCTTTTTATCCTAGAAGAATTAAGTTACTTTGCCAAAAAATGTTGATATCCTAGTTGACAAATGTATCGGTGGGAGTAAATGATTGGATGTAAAATTTGATTGTTTTAAAAACAGTTCAATGACAAAATATTACATGACATTCTGTCAAGGAAGATGTCAATATTTTCTGGTAACGTATCATGGTTGATCCTAGAATATATTGACGATTTTGATTGTAAAAGAGCTATCGACTTTCAGAACTTAAGGAATCATAATAAATTTACTCAATCTCTCTTTCAAGTAGCAAGTTCGAAAGTAACCAAGAATTGAAAAGACACTAAACTCGATGTGTGATTACGAGTATGGCTAGGTAGCACTAAGAATAGTTCTTTAAGTTTTACATTGTCCTTTCCATCCCTAGACACGATAAGTTTGTCCTTCCCATCCCTAGACACGATTAGTTTTCTTCTGTTGCACTTTTAGTTAGAGGTATTGTTATTCTCATTATGAATAAATCATGCCACCTAACATCTAATTAGATCGAAATATTATTCAAATTCAAAATAGAAACTCGATCTACAAATAGTACAAAGTTATCATGTAATGTGAATATGTGATTTTAGTGTCTCTTGATCTCTTCGATTTTGAAATATAAAAACGTCATAATCCTAAAAACTCAAGGTGGTAATCATAGATTGATAGATGGCTATTGAA